GTTTGCTAGCTACACATAGCTACGTCTTGTTAGGACAATGGGTCACTTCCTGTTAACAGAAAATAACGTACGCCCTCTGGTGGACAAAAGTGAAACACTATGTTTCCTCTTTCATTGGGAAAAATCCTATTTATTCACAAGTTGTGCCAAATTAAACTAAACTAGCTCTAAAATGATCCCTCAGATCCGACATTTTGAGAGAGTTGACAGTCAATTATATAATTAAAATGAACTTTATTTTCTAGACGAATTATAATACATGACAAGTTATAAATGACGGTATGTGATGGATGTATATGTGATGTGTGATGATGGTGTAAGGTAGATGTATATCAGAACCTTTGTATCTGGAAGAAACTGTGAGTTCTGGGAGTAAAAGAATTTGGTCTGCTATAAACTAGAGTTGATTATTTATAGAACAACATCAGACGCAATCTTGTTGTGTCTACGTACCCTTAGGAGACCCAATTTTTGGATCCGAGATGTCGGGGGTCGGGTGATCCCAAGGCATTGGAGTTCGTAGATTAACCGCAATGTGACCCGGTCAGTCCAGAGTCGTCTCGCAGATCACAACAGACAGGTGGACTTGTTGCGTCTAAGAATGGACTCTTAAGGAGTTGTAGTTGTGTCAGCTGCAGCGTGCAAACAGGTTTTGACTGTATGTCAAAGAGAAGTTTCAAAAGAGGCTGGTTTTGGATTGGCCACTCTGGAGTGTCAGCTGGAAACAACTTACTCAACTCAACTGAGTAACTCGGCAGTCACTCTAGTTTTAATAATCTTGAGTTGATCATTTCTGCGAATCAGAATTTGATGTTTGTTGACGTTACCAAACATCCCTCAGAAACCCAAAACTTCATCAGATACAAGATGTTCTAACTGTGGATAAATAATCTTTAAACTTATGTGAGGTGTGACCTTGACCGTAGTTTATATCTAATGAACATTGTGTATGAGTGTAGATAATGATTCACTTGTTAAATCAAACAGTACTGATCATAACATGTAAATGCATCATTGTCAGAACAATATTCATTTCAACTTCATTGATTTAGGCACAGATTATTCACACATTTAATTTAACATCTGGTTCATTCAACCATATGATGATTATGATTATTTAAGCATATGAGCTGTAAGTGTTTACTTTTATTCTGAGGACGAATTCTGCAGTCTGATCAGAAGAAAGCTTTGTTTGGGAACATAGGCTGACAATCCTGACGTCATGGGATGTCAACAAGCACTGCAGAAACTTCTGGGTGTTAGAGATAGAGTTTAAAATCCCCCTAGAACATGGAAGTATTTCAGAGTTTAAAATCCCCCTAGAACATGGAAGTATTTCTTTAGATGGCCGGTCACTGTGTAGGTCAACATGTAGGTGAAAATGAACCCTTTCTGGACATTACAGAGGAGAGGACGTCGAAGCGTTTCATTTATAAAAGGAGTGGTATTTAAAGGTTGAGTGACTAAGGCGGGGGTCGGCAATCCGCGGCTCTGGAGCCGCATGCGGCTCTTACATCCATCTGATGCGGCTCTCTGTGCTTGTAAAATAATGAATGGATATTTAAATAAAATGCTTTATATTTTACTGCATTAATTTTACATCTGTAAGCTAATTCTAAATGTAAAGATTGTCTGCGTAAACCTGAACAGGTCCAACCCGGTCTACTGTGTGACCGGGTTGACGCGTCACGCTTGTGCGTAATCATATGCGTGTTCTGAGCTGACGAGGATGTGAGATTCTGGGATTCTCCTCAGACGGCTCCTGGATGTGTCGTCACATTGGAGACAGGTACAAGCACTATTCAGCCAAAGTTTCATCATCAGGGAACATTTTCTAAGTGACAAGTCTCTCTGAGAGACCGGGTTTGGAAAAGTCTCGCTTCAGTGGGAGGAATCTTCCCGCATGCACTCTGGTTCTGCGACGCGCTCCAAGCCAATCTCCACATCTTCAGCTCGCTGTGCACCGTACGTACACACTGACAGTGAGCTGCGCTGAGCAGTGTCCAGCTCAGATGTTCAGAAGGAAATCTTTTCTTGAGTGATTTAGCTACATCTGCGATGTGCGTAGAATAAAGTGTCAGTTCGTCTGCATGCGTCGGGGTAATTCTTTCTATTCTTTCTCCATCAAAATAAACGATCAAATACGGGAACTGTCCGGTCAACACAAGCCCTGCTTTTAACTGTTCTGTTTTCTTGTGAAAATTGTTGCAAAGAGATAAAATTAAACTTGATTAACACCAGAGCCAGGCGCACTGCGCCGTTATCTCCGTCACTGTAAATGAGGGAAAAACAAAATGATCGGATCCTTTTCTGACCTTCCCCACCTACAAAGTTTAATTACAACAATCAAACGTGACACAGCCTGGATTTGTATTCTGAACAGTCTAAACATGTTTTAAAAAGAAACGTATGACAAAAGTGGCACCTGCTCAGTAAAACCACCAGCAGGGTGAAAAATATCTAAATATTGTCGGCAGAGACGGGCTACAACTTCTGGATCCACTTTATATAAATCGTTTTATTGATTATCTTCTTATGAAAGATAGCTTTGACGTGCACGAGCGACCGGTACCGGCTGCTGTCACCTGTTGTGAGCAGCTCTCTGCTGTCTGAGGGTAAGCCCCGCCCACAACGCCGCGGCTGCTGCGGTGTTTTCTTTACTGTGGGAAATGGGTAATAATGGCTCTTTGATGGGAACAGGTTGCCGACCCCTGGACTAAGGAGTAAAAACTGATACCGATATGACATTTTAACGCTGTTATAATATCGGACATCCCTGATCCACACTGTACAAATGAAATTAAAACTTTACTGTAAATTCAATGAAAAAATAAAAATGTACTTGCATTTCATTGTAATGCTTAATTCTCACTTTGACTGTTGTGTTAGTCATGGGCGAAGCTTTATTTCAGTCCATCGTGGGTCCCAGCGGGATTCCCTATGCTTACTTTTTCCTTGCCTCTTCTTCCCTGCTGCTGTCCTCTGCCTCACCAGGCTCACCTGTGCAGCAAGATGCACCTTCCTGCTCTGCCTCCCCAGTTTCCTCTCATTTACTCAAACCCTCCGCTACTTCAGCTCGTGTACTTACATAATAAGTAATAGATTTTAGTATTAGACACCGATATCATGCAAGGAACGTTGGGAATATTTAAATATCACACGTGCCACGGTACAGATCACTGTCACCTCTACATTCCTCAGAACTTGAGGGAACTGCGTCACAATAAAGAACATTCAGCATCTCCATCTAAACGTTACATCAGTGTCTTCCTCGGGTCCCTTTCTCTTCTGAAAATATTTTAATATACTCATCTGAAACCAGAAATGAGTCTCAACGGAAAAATCACCCAGCATGAAGCTCGTGCTGTTCGGAACGTATCTGAAGTATCCTGCATGAAGGACAAATGTGGTTGCAACATGCATTAACACTAGGGTAGTTTTCACAGGCTTGAACTAAAAATGCATTCAACTGATGGTGAAATGTGTAAGCGTTGCTTGTTGTGGTCTACACCGAACCCACATATGCAGCCATGGCTTAGGGGCATGTAGTAGACAGAGCTCTGCAAGGCTAGCAGCAACATCAACACAACCACTGGAATCGCACAATAAATGCATCCAATCATATCCAATTTATTAATGGCACATTGTGCAAACGGCTCGATAGCTGACCAAAACGCTAAACAATGAATAATGCAAACAATCAAACAAAGCAAGGGAGAAACAACGCAGTAGAAGAACAAAACAAACGCATTAAAGCCATAAGTCAGGGCAGACGTAATAACAAAAACAAGACTAAAAGATGGCCAGATTTAACGCGTACAAGGGAAGGAGCTTGCCTATCATGCAGATGGAGATCGTTACACAAATCAGGGGCTGCGTGTGAGAAAGCTCGTTCCCCATGGGACTTAAAACCAGTGCTGCTGGGAAATACAGGACCCGGTGGAGGCACTGATGTGAGGAGTCCAGCTTGATCCCCAGACTGGAGACTGAAACTTAAAAAGGTAGGCTGAAAGATCGCACGATACGGTTTAAATGATGGCCTCGGTTTTATTGTCGATCAAATGAAGGAAATTAGCGGAGAATCTGACTTAAAACATCTGAAACAAACACCACCACCCAGCTAAGCTGCTGGACAGACGCCGGCCAGCTGTAAGTCTGTTTTTCTGTCACATCAGCTGGAGTCTTCTCCAGCACCTGGACCGGACTGTGGAGACCCTGAGGAAGAGGATGAAGATGGAGTTGATTTTCTGAGGCAGACTCCTCAGCTGAGCAGCGCCTTTAGAGCAACGTCCCTAACGAAGACGGCTGGTCATGGTGCAGGTGAGGGCAGAGACCCAGACCAGATCAGCACCTGCCCATGTTGTCATCTGGCCCTGCCCCTCCGCACTCTGAGCTGGCATCAGGTAACGTTTAAGCACCGCTCCAATGCTTTCATCAGTGAACCTTACCGTTAGACAGCTTACTTCCTGTCTGTGTTTCCAGGTGAAGTGTCGAACTCACGTCTTCTTAAAAAACAGAGACTTAGAGACGGAGGTCCTCAGGAAGCTTTGATGGACACGCACCCGGATGCTGGAAGGGCTTCCTTCTGTCCGAGGGATCGTTTGTGTTTAGCTTTCATTGCTGTGGGTTTCCAGAGGTCATCTCTCAGTAGACCCACAGCTGGATGGCTGAGACTAATTCTGATGTCCTGGTTAAGAAATGGGGCCCTAAAAATATTTGAGCTATTTATGTTTCTTCTTGATGTTTTCAGCACAAACTTTATTGTTTTGGGTCATTTTCAAAGTTTAGTTTAAACGTGATTTTGAAGTGGAGCTGATGGAGGCAGCAGGAGGCTGGAACAAGGCACCAGTCACTGACCGTAGCTAACGCTAACCCTGCTGCAGAACACCGGGTTGGGTGGATCTTCGTCATTTTAATGTTTTCAATAAAGAAACCAGTCAAACTTCAGCTGAATTTTAAAAATCTCTGTTACTTTTAAAGAAGAGGAAAGAGAAACCAAATCCAACAGTTGAAAGTACATTTTAATAAGAGCGCTTTAACACACACACACACACACACACACACATCTGCTGACTGTTCACACCATGTATGGGAAAGGCTCCCTGAGCTGCTTGCAGACCACCTCATCAATGTAAAGACAGTTGGCTTTGGTGTTGACGGCTTCCTGCAGGGAGACCTGACAGCGAACCAGCGCCCTCTGTTCATGCTCAGACCGGGCCACGTCCTCGTGCAGCCTGGGAACGGAGAGAGGAGCTAAGGCCCGGTGGTCATGTACGGTTAGACATGTAAAAACACTGCAACACACACCACTTGGTGGAATATCAGTGAACATAAACTTTTGGTTTATTTAGATGAGAGTGGTTCCACTTCAGCAGGCGGGGAGCTCCATCAGCGCTACACTATTAAGTTGATTTATATCTGATCGTTTTGGGGCGTGCCTACATGAATCAGCAGGCTGAACATCATCAGACCTCAGCGGTAAACAGATGGGAGTGATCTGGACCTACTTGTTGATGCTGACAGTCAGCTGCTGGACATGAGCGGAGATCTGGACCTGGGCTGGATCATGGCACTGCTCTTTACCGGGTCTCTGACGACGTAAAGCCAGCCGGGCCTGGGCCAAGCTCAGGAGCTCTTGCTTCTTTGTGATGGACACTTGGAGATCCTCTCTGATCTTCTGCTGGCTGTTGATCTCAGCAACAACCTAAAGAGAAGTAAACGAGTCTGAGCAGCGCCCACGTCATAATGAGAGATGATGCACAAAAATCCACACAAGGACACTTTTTGCTGTGAAACGTCTCTGTTGTACAGATGCAGCTGTAGAAGGAGGTTCTTCCAAACATTTCAGCACTTTTTACCAGAGACGTTTATTCTCTGTGCAACAATGATGATCCTCCATGTTTACATGAAGTTAAAGAGCAAGTCACCCCTGTAACGTGAGGAAGTATGGCGTTTCTGTGCCAAAGGTCGTATTTGCCCGGCTGGGTCAGAGCTGGGTCACGCAGCACCTTCACCCACAGATTAAGACCTGAGCCGACAGCAAGTCTGAAGGAATCCACAACAATCCAACACCTGCAGCTCCAGAAGAAGGACTTCTCCACAGTCTAGTCATAATAAAACAGAGTCTCAAGCTTTCTTCTTTATTTTATTAATGTTAAATAATCATTTTATCATTTTGCTCATTATAAATGTATTTTAATCAAATGAATGATTATTATGCTTTGGGTAATCATAATGAACTATAATGAATCAGTACTTAATTAAATAATGTTTTTGAAGATGTTTAGCGATGACCTTCACACTCGCTCACACAGGTCCGACTCCACAGTAACTCAAAACACATTTGCTCTGACGCACAACAAGTTTGCTTTGGGAAGAGAAGTGGTTTCGGTAAGTTAGTCAGAACGAGAGTGAGAACGGAAGAGAGCGGAAGTGCAGAACCAACGCCACGGGGAAAGGAGCCCTGCCGGCTCTTTTCTCCCTCCACGCTATTTCTGTCAAGCCAGACAGAATAGCTGAAATGCAACCCGCTAACGCAGACTCGTCCCAGAGTCTTTTGATTTCTGAGTTAATTTAAACTTGAGAAAGCGCATCTGCCGAACGCTTCAGCAACGTGTACCGAGGTCAACTCTGGACTGGACCGTCAGCACACCTTCGTCTTCTCTGTCAGCCAAGGTGGCATCTGGATAACACATCCTCCGAGGTCCGGATCTAAAGGGGGTCCTAAGTGCGGTGAGGCAGAACACGACCAGATAGCGTTCTGATGCTGGTTTTCTAATTGGAACTAAAGTTTAATTGCAAAACATCATTTTTCACTCAGACACCTTTCCTCTCCCTGAAGCAATCTCAGACACCTGCATGCACGCATTCATAATTCCATCATCCTCAATCTTTAGCACATCCAACACAAGGTCTATTTGAGCAAGCTTAAAATATCAACTGTTAAAGATGTCCAACAAGGTTGCCAATGTTGATTGTTTTTCCTATGATTGTCATTTCAAATCATTAGTTTAAATTGAAGAAATAAAACTCTTAAAATTTAAACTTGTCTTTTCATTGAACTGAAACACAGACAACCGGATATGATCGTCAGTTTATCGATGAAAACAACCTTTGAGTCTTCTTATCTCTATAACATTTGGTTATTAATTTGTAAAAATTAATATTCCAGATTATTCTGTAGGATGATTTATCTTTCATAAAAGAGCCAACAACCATTACGCTACACCCCCAAATCAACTTTTTTTTCTGATAAACTATATAAACGTGTGTCTAATCGTGCTGCAGACACGTCCCATCCAGAACAGTTAAATCCTTCCCAAATCAAAAACCATGGATTAATGGAGGTGTGCGAACGGCGCTGGCGGCGCGGAGCACCGCCTTTGCCTCCGCGAACACATCAGACTACAAACACGCACATTACCAACTCCGGAAGACGATCAAAGCAGCCAAACGTGAGTACAGAGACAGGGTGGAGCAACAGTTTGACAACCCCCGGAGTATGTGGCAGGGACTAAACACAATCACAGACTTTAGAGGGAGAACCAGCACACCGCAGACCACGGCCTCTCTGTGTGAGGATCTAAACGCATTCTATGCCAGATTCGACACAGCGAACACCATGAGACCGGACAGTGAGCGCACCGCGGATGACGTCAGTGCGCACAATGTGTCTGAAGAGGATGTGCGGAGGTGCTTCGGGAGGGTGAACGCACGCAAAGCTTCTGGTCCGGACGGGATTCCCGGCCGCGTCCTCAGGTCATGCGCGGGTCAGCTGGCTGGAGTGTTTACACACATCTTCAACCTTTCCCTCTCTCTGTCTCTAGTCCCAGCCTGCTTCAAAATGGCCACCATTGTCCCTGTACCCAAATCCTCCACCATCTCCTCACTGAATGACTGGTGACCTGTAGCCCTGACCCCCATCGTGAGCAAATGCTTCGAGAAGTTGGTCAGGGACTTCATCTGCTCTGCACTGCCCGATTCACTGGACCGTCTACAGTTTGCATACCGCCACAACAGGTCCACTGATGATGCCATAGCCCTGACACTCCATGCTGCCCTGTCACACCTGGAAAAGAGAGACACGTATGTGAGAATGCTGTTTGTAGATTACAGATCAGCATTCAACACCATCGTTCCCTCGAAGCTGGACAGGAAACTGCAGGATCTAGGACTGAGCAGCTCCCTCTGCAGCTGGATCCTGAACTTTCTGTCTGACAGACGCCAGGTGGTCAGACTGGGCGGCACCATCTCATCCCCCGTCACACTGAACACTGGTGCTCCGCAGGGGTGTGTGCTGAGCCCTCTCCTGTACTCACTCTACACCTACGTCTGCACAGCCACGAGAAACTCCAACATCATTGTGAAGTATAAGGACGACACCACAGTGGTAGGTCTCATCACCAACGACGATGAGACGGCCTACAGGGAGGAGATCAGCGCCCTGACCCACTGGTGTCAGGACAACCGTCTCACCCTCAACGTCACAAAGACAAAGGAGATGATAGTGGACTTCCGGAGGTGCAGAGGAATACACACCCCCATCACCATCAACGGCGACGCTGTGGAGAGGGTGAGCAGCTTCCGTTTCCTTGGAGTTCATCTGGCAGAGGATCTTACGTGGTCAGTGCACACGAACAATACAGTGAAGAAGGCACAGCAGCGCCTCTTCTTTCTCAGGAGACTGAAAAGATTTGGCATGAGCTGCCGCATCCTCAGGACCTTCTATCGCTGTGCCATTGAGAGCATCCTCACTGGATGCATCTCCGCCTGGTATGGCAACAGCACAGCTTACAACCGCAAAGCTCTCCAGAGAGTAGTGCAGTGTGCTGAAAGGATTATTGGAGGTGAGCTTCCCTCCCTCCAGGACATCTACAGGAAGCGGTGCCTGAGGAAAGCGGCGAGGATCATCAAGGACTCAAGTCACCCCAGCCATAAACTGTTCAGACTACTTCCATCAGGAAGGAGGTTCTGCAGCATCCGGTCCAGAACCAGCAGACTGACAGACAGCTTTTTCCATCAGGCCATCAGACTGCTGAACACGGCGCAGACACCTCACCCTCACTGCTGAAACTCCAACATTACACACTCCATACTGTACATTAATGCCACTGTTTTGCACATACCAGCCTCTGTATATTTTATATCTCTTATCTTATTGTTTACTTTATTCATTTGTATATTTAGATTAGCCATTTTTATATTTTACTTGTTTTTACATTACTGTATTTTTACAACTCTGTTGCTGTGAAGCTCGCACACAAGAATTTCACTTGCATGTCCTGTACCAGTGTACCTGCACATGTGACGTGACAATAAAAGTGATTTGATTTGATTTGTAGTCAATAGTTTTGCACTTTAGTGCATCTTAGTTACAACTTTAATTTTGTGCCTGAAACTGCCAGTGTTGTGCCGTTGTCAGGTAAAAACTGCACTGCAGTTGAATTTAAATCTGCCATTGCTATTGGCGAAGAGGTACACTATGATGTTAGATGGTACATTATGATGTCACAATGTCGTGAGTGTGTATTTGTTTGTGGCTCCGCCCTCTTGGTCTGCTAGGCTACAGCATTTGTTGCATTTTTCAAACAGGAAGTGGGAGTGGAGTTAGACTCTGGTAGGGGGTGACTTGCTCTTTAACGGTATTGTTTCTCCTGGGACAGCCTGATCAACCATGGGTCCCACCTTGAGCAGTTTCTCCTCTATCTGGAGCTTGTGGGATTTGACCTGCTGGATGTTGAGCTGAAAGGCTGTAGTTGTAGCCTGGACCTGCTTCTGTATGTCAGCTGTGGTCTGCTGCAGCACAGTCTCCACCAAGACCCTCAGGGACTCGGAGCTGCGCCTCTGCTGCTCCGCCTTATCCAAGTTAAGGTTTGAGATGTTCTCCCACTGCGTCTGAGCTACTGGGAGGCTGAGGGAAACAAGCAAAGTTAAGAATCAACAGTAAAAGTCATTTTTTCAGAAACTTGGAGATGGGTTTGAGTCTAGACTCAGTGGTGGTGGTTGGCACACATACCACCTCTGAAGGTTTAGCTTCACCACTAAAACACGTCAGGATTCAGATTACGGGAGAAAAATGCAGCTAAAATAATCCAAAGGCTGGTCTAGGAACCAGTCATGTAATGTTTGTGGGTAAAGATCAGACGAGTCACCTTGGCGGGACAGCGTTGCTGCCACCGGGCAGGCTGATGGAGCGGACATTCATTAAAAGGCAGGAGGCATCGATGTTCTCAGCTGTAGACTTCTCAGTGAGGTCCTTCTCTAAACGGTACTTAGCAGATCGGTTTAGTCTGGAACAGAAACAAAATATTAGTTTGGTTTCGTAAACCCCAGAAAGCGAATCCAGATGTTCTGCAAACACAGAAAACTGGTTCTCGCCGGATCTGCTCAGTAATCTGCTTCTCCACGTTTTCCAGAAGAACCGTCACTTCCTCCAGAACCAGCTTCTCCTTCCTCAGCTCAGCATTCACGTCGTCATGCAGCCTCGCAGAAGGACCTCGCTTCCGTCTACAACACACAGAAAGGTTTCTGTTACTATCCTAAACGGTGTGAACGCGTTTCTCTCTGAAACCGTCACTCTGGTGTTTTCTGTCGAAACAAAACTCCACTCAGCCATTTTGGCCCATTTCAAAGGTTCAACGCAGAATGAATCAGTTTCTTATAATCAGGCAGTGATGTCATCATATTAATAAGAGAACAGTATCATAAGCACAGTGCTGTTAACAGTCTCAAACGTGTGGCTTTAAGCTCCAAATGATTTAAACGGTTGTTTTTCCTTCACCGGCTGCTGCGTTTACCTCTCCTCCAGACAGAGGCTGGCGACCCTCAGAGGCTCTTTGCAGGCGTCCAGGGCCTTCATCACTCTACTCTTTATGTTGAGCAGAGCATCGATCTCCACAACCAACTCCTCCAGCTTCAACTCCAGCTCTTTTCGGAGGAACTGGATTTCTCTGACCCGTTGATCTGAACAAAGGATTAGATGTGATCACTGTAAACATGAAATTAGGCTCTCGGCTAAAGGCCCGCTGTCCTGAGGCTGCGTACCCAGGTGCTTCACGTTGTCATCATGCATGCGTGCACACACTTGGTCCGTTTCCACGATCAGCCTCTTGCATTCTCCTCTGAACAGTTCATGGTGGTTCAGCATGGCCTGGATGTGCCCCAGATCTGGTTCTCCGGCCTGCTGGAGGCTGGGCTTCAGGGCTGACATGGCTCTGGTTCCTACTGAAAGGTCTGCCCTTTCACATAAAAGTGTGCTTTCAAATAGTGGCTGCATGTAAGATCCATGGGAGGATATCAGATTGTTTATTTTTTAAAATAATATTTACAGAATTTTGAAGTTTTTCCCCATAAAGACGATAAAATGTTTTAGATCAGCACGAAGTTTCATATCAGACCTAAAATACCGGAAAACACAAAAAGCTAAATAACCCTAACCCTTTCCAAATCAATCTGGGAAACGCTTTAAGTTACATCTATTTAAACATGGATCCCAGGTAATACTGCCTTTGCTTCCTGGTCCACTGACACCTGTCTGCGCACGCAGAGCGTTACAGCCGAACTTCGTTAGGATGCAACTTCCGTTGTTACGCTTAAAACCGTCAGCTCGTCCGTTTAAAACAGATAAAAACTGCATTTAAAGGGTTTCCCACACGTACCTTGTCTATTAAAGTTGCCACAAACGAACAGAAAGAGATCTCGCAGACCAGTCGTACCAAACCAACGGTTGCTGGGGCGAGGCGTCATCGATCGGACGTTGAGGGTCAGTTTACGTATGTGCCCAGTCAGCGTGGTCGCTATGACAACCGGTGTAACGCAAGCAACATGTCTTAAATAGTAAACCGATTGTGTGAGATATAGCATATGACACGTTTTTAAGGATATTCTTAACCTGATATAATAAGAATTGTCCCGTAAAGCAACACAATGGTGGTCAAAAAGAAAGTGATAGCCCGTGGATTACCATAAAAACGCTTGCAAAAAGAAAAATGTTCTTTACAGAGATTTTATATAAGAAAGAACAAAACGACTGGAAGTACAAAATATATAAAATGTTCTTTACAGAGATTTTATATAAGAAAGAACAAAACGACTGGAAGTACAAAATATATAAAAATGTTCTGCTGAGCTGTGGTGGCCTCATGGAGGGGGCCATCGTCTAACACACTGCTGCTAACCACTTAAACATTCTCCCTCTCCTGATAATAACTTTTTACTTTCCTTGACGTTGGATGTGCTACTACTAGTTTACCCGTTTAATTATAGATCCACTAGGATAAATACAATAAAGTTTATCTCTCACCAAATAGAATATTTAGACATCACACTGTAGACACATTATTGTGTGTGTGTGTGTGTGTGTGTGTGTGTGTGTGTGTGTGTGTGTGTGTGTGTGTGTGTCTGCTCTGTCTTCTCCATCCCCAGTGAGTCGTGGAGGATGGCTGCTTATACTGAGCCAGGATTCTCTGGAGGTTTCTTCCTGTTAAAAGGGAGTTTTCCTCTCCACTGTCGCTGCATGCTTGCTTAGTATGAGGATTGCTGTATAGTCACTGACACTAGTCAGTGACTCGATGCAATTTGCTGGGTTCCTTATATAGGAAACATTATTTCTGATTGGCTTAATGAACTGACCTGAACTGGAATGTTTATTATGTGAAGTGCCTTGAGACGACTCTTGTCGTGATTTGGCGCTTTATAAATAAACTTGAATTGAATTGAATTAAAAATTAACTTGTCAAATGTGATCAGAATGGCCAAGAAAGCAAATAACAACAAAGTACTACAGAACAATAAAAACAACATTTAAGGTACGTGGACGGTAATAAACAGTATTATTAGAACTGAATCCAACTGTGTAACATATCCTGATTATTTTGTGGAAGATGGACATATTATAAATAAAAAAAACATGGATGAAGCAGTTGATGGGTTTAATCATTTTTTGTTAATGTGGGTCCAGTCTAGTCCAGAGAAATAAATGCCTTGAAAACAACTAAAGAAGAACCAGGAGGACAGGAATCCCAACTCAATTTTTCTTAGATCCATAGAAGGAAAAGAAATTATAAAAACTGTGCTAAAATGTAAAAATAAAACATCAACTGATGGAAATGGCATTGACATAATGATCCTAAAAATAGTTATTGAAGAAATTGAAGAACACTGACACATATCTTTAATTTATTTTTATACAGGCTCATTTCCAAATAACATAATGTCATGATTTGAGGATGGTTAGGACCCAAAATGCAGATTACCCCAGACGACACGAGGCCGGAGCGTTCTAAAAGAAAATCCTTTTATTAGGATGATGAACAAAATACAAAGAATGGCAGGAAGCCAAAAACCTAAAGTCCTGAAACCCAGGACACCGAAAGCTCACATGGAGCACAAAACCTGGAGAACTAGAACTAAAGCTCACTTAGAGCACAAAAACCTGGGACGAGACACAAAGCTCACACAGAGCACCAACACAACGCTGACAACAACAATGGACCGACAAGACACTGAGACAAGACAGGGCTTATATACACTGGGGCATGATGGGAGGCAGATGGGCTGCAGGTGTGTGGAGAGAGAACCAGGTGAAACAATTAACTAATCAGGGAGGAAACTAACATGACCTAAGAGTAAGAGTAAAAAACCTAAAGACAAGATGAGCAGCAAAATAAACTAATATTCTAAGGGGAAGGGAAACCACAAAAACCTGTGGAAAAACATACTAAAGAGACTAGTAAAATGAGAAGCTGAACCATGGACGTCACTAGGATAGAGATATGGGGGGGCTTAGCCCCAGGAGCTTGACCTTGAACGTTTTTTGTCACACCCTGCAAAAACTTTGTCAATTAATTCACTATCTGAAATTCATTTAACAAAACCTATTATTTTATCACTTTCTTTTCCTTTCCTACCTTTGTGCATTTTCTCTCTTCTTTTTACAAAAAATAACAATCAGTTCATTAGTGGGGTCTATGTTGAAGAAAGATTTTATGTAAGTCCATTAAAAATTTGATATGTTATATTTCCAAATAAAGCTATTCATTTCAGTCTACTGCACTTAACGGGGAAATGTTGTAGTCATTTATTTAATTTGTTTAATCACAACTTGTTTAATTATAAATGTTACTGAAATGTGACAATAAAGAACAAATGAATAATTGTCAAACTTTTTTTCTGCCAAATGAGTGTGCAGTTGACAGTTTTAATATATGAATAACACTGCTATTATATGGAATAAAGGAGTATATAATTAACTATTACAAGACAAAATAACAGTATATATAAAAATATCCAGCAAGTAGTAGAACTTATAATACAGAAAGTCAACTATACAGATACAACTTGACATAAGGTTGCAGGCCAGATGATAATTATAGTTGTTTTTTCTCAAGGTCTCTTACCTGTTCACTCCTAAATAGAAAACTGTTCAATTTTGCTTGGGAACTGTGTGCTCAGGTAAATGCTCATAACGATGCGCTCGCCCCTGTTTTCTCTGTAGATCACTGACCTTGTCCATGCAGATCTCCTCAGCATCAACCACCTGGTCTCTCTCCTGTTCCTCACTCACTCTCTTAAAAAAGTCTTCGCATATCCATCTAGCCAACACATTGAAAAACATTTTCAGTTTCTAATGCCAAGACAAATGCTACTATACCATTCAGTTTTCACTCACAATAACTGAAACAGCCATTGGTGGATAAATGGGACAGAATATGGACAACTGTCAGCCTAATATAGCCTATGTTTGGTTGCTCATGATGATGGCATTTTCCATAACGTCACATTAAGCTGCCAAAATTTATGTTAAAGTTAGACGAGTACAACATCTCCTTTCTTTACCATAGGTAAACATAGGAAATATTAAGCAATTGACAACCCACATGGAAAGAATTCATATCAACATATAACTTTTTTAGTTTAGTGTAGTTTTAATATATGTTTTGATATAGCTTTTGAATATATGCGACATATATAAAACAGGCTGTTTACTATATTATAGATACATATATGTACCTATAATATAATATATATATTATAGAAAAAATATATAATATAGAAAAACGGTCAATAATATACACATTCGGCCATATTCTGATTCAGGTTTTTAGTGTGGAGTGATTTTTGAGCCACCAACTGGAGCGTGCAGTGATCAATCTGCAAGAGCACAACCTGCTCTGCAGTCATATGCAGCCCTCTCTCTGCATGCTCAACTCCGTCTCTGCCTGCACAAATCTCCCTGTTGTTGCTCAATTTGCAATTTACAAAGCAATGTAGCCTCTCCGTCAGCCAATCAGACAGCTCTCCATTATGCAATCAAAGCATGTCCAGGAAATACTGGCAGGAAAATTGCACTTTTTTCAGAAAAAGAGGACTTTATATAATTATATTTAATTAGGTTGATTAACTCTCCTCTTTTCCTGGGACATTTCCACTGTTCACTTCCTTTTACACATCAAGGGCTCATTTATGTCTGACCAAACAGAGAAGAAACACTTTATATGTTGAAATTAAAAGTCCTCTTTAACTGAAAAGAGTGCAATTTAACAGTTTTAGGAATAGGCAATGTGTCTTTTCTGGAAGTCAAATATGGTCACCCTAATCATGACACATGAATTACAACAAAGTATCTTGCAGGCAGTGGATGGTGACTGGTAGCTAACCAGCAGCAGAAAGCAGTTCAATAAGCTGTTAAATGGGTGTTTTTCTGTAAAGCAGTATTTCCTGGACATGCTTTGATTGGATAAAACAGAGCTGTCTGTGATTGACTGTTGGAGAGGCTACTTGTTGAGGAGAGCAGAGAGAGATTTGCATGCGCAGAGACAGAGTTGAGTCCACAGAGAGGGCTGCAGCTGCTGCACACAAGCGCAGAGCAGGTTCTGTTTGTGCAGACTCATTACTGTACGCTCAAGCTGGTGGCACTAAGTCACTCAGTGAACCGGCTGGCTCGTTAATCATGTCACTTCAGGGGAGTTTTCCGACCATTTTACTTGACATCAAAGCTTTTCATTATGGTTTGCAGCATGTAAACATGCTAGCGGAGTTAGCATTAGCATGTCGGTGCGGTAGCATTTTCCTCTCTCTGAAGTCTGAACTATAACCTTGAAATGTTAACGGTGTGCTGCTGTTGCTGTCTTACCCTAATGTGATGTTGAGTGACTTACATGAGCGCTGAGCAGGGTTTGCTCATCGATATATAGGTTTTGCTGTATCGCCCCGCCCCCTGACTTGTCAACAAAGCTGTCGGGGTTAAGGAAGTGGAGGACGTCCTTTTTTGATAGTTCCTGTGTGCGACGGTGTAGTTCTATATTCATTAATTATTATTTCTGTTTCAGACTACAAAAAATCCTGTACCAACTACACGTGTCGTGATTGTGTTGAGCATGTAGATGTGAACAAATAAAAAAAAGTTAACTGAAAAAAATAAAATTAAATTAAATTTTAAAAAATTGATAGGGGGGGGGGGGCTTGTGATTATTTTAGGGGGGCTTCAGCCCCCCTAAAACGGACCTTACGACGTCAGCGAGCTGAACCTATAAAAAACTGCAGAGGGGTGACTGGGGGAGATTGCAGGAACACAGGACCTGAGAGGGAATATCTGGAGGGCTGAAGACCAGGGGACACATGAGGAACACAAAGAGACACAGACACAGACCATGACACATAAAGTAAAAGCTTTATAAAACCTTTATAAAACAGGCGACATGCATCATTTTACTAACTACAGACTGGTCTCTTTGTTATCTCAGTTTTGTAAGATTCTGGAAAAACTCTTTACAAACAGATTAGATTAATTCATTGAGA